GTGAATAATGTGTATAAACAAGGAGTTAGTCGATGGTTCAACCGGTGTGACATTCAAGCGAGCGGATCACAACAAAGTCAGAGAAAAGGGAAAATACATGGCGCTTTTGTAGACCATTTTACTTCTGGCAAAATGATACAACGTAAAAGGTACTAAGTTGTCTTTCGCTCGAATACGATCGGCGGAAGGGACCCAGACTGCACTAAAAAGAACACACTAAAGCTGCACAATTGTTTTAGCAAACCCAAAAAGATGCGACATGATCAAGCCACTACTAAGCTGTAGTTGATTCGCCACAAAAAGAGGAAAAAACCATCACACAGTCGCAAGTCGCAGAGAAGGCAGCACCCATCAAGCAGAAAGACACTCGAACTCACTAGCGTAAAGTGCGAAGAGCCCAAGCCATTCAAGGCGCAACGAACAGATTTCCTGCATCGTGACTCCTCATGGCAGAGGTGGTGGAGAATCAGCGCTGGTACCCGTTTGTGGTGCGTGCAGGCTTGCTCGTGATTGGTCGTTTCTCGAATGCCGCAACTGCTCGAACGACATGATCAAGGTCTTTTCTAAATTGCGTTAATGGAACAAGGTGCTAATTTTAGTATGTCTTGTTGTAGGGCTGGACAGCGCGACTGCATACAGAAGATCCTCCTGCCTGGTGCAATGCGCAGAAGGATGCGTGTCCCAGTAAAGACGAGCAGAAGGAGTTCGTGTGGCAGGTCTACAAGGGCCAAGACTATGACGAAGAAGGTTGGCTGTATGGAGAAAACTTCCAGGGCACACTTGGCCCTATGACGCGCTCTAGCGTTGTCCGTACTCGCGTTTGGATGGGAAATAAGCTCGAGGTGCAGGAGGAAACTGCAGATGCAGCGGAGATACCGGTGTCTGAAGAAGATGAAGAACCTCTACGAAAAAGCGCGAGCAAATCAAAGTGCCATACGCTTGTTTCGTCCAACGATGAACTACATGAAAAGGATAAGAACGAAGGTGCTACGAAGACAGAAGAAGCGTCGGTAATCGAGCAACGTGAAGATGACAAGACCGGGGAAGATATCGTATTAGACGCATCGATGGAAGAGAACAAGACGAACGAGTCCAGTGAAATATCCAGCTCATGGAACTTTTTCGGCAGGATTTCGTCTGCTGCTTTATCGTTGCCGTCGTCAGCGATAAACTTGGCGGGTTCATCGTCGAAGCAAGCAGTCTATGGAACAGTGCAGTCGATAAAGGAGGCGTCACTGTGCGGGTTAGAGATGGCGCAGGCAGCTACTGCAGCTGCGATTTCGTCAGAGCCTGTAATCCTTCCACAGGCGAAACAAAAGCGAAGCGACGACACCGATGTGCTGAACGAAGAAAGCAATGTGGAGGTCTTGTCCATGTTGTCGAAGCGTTTTCCAGATCTGTCACCTTTTCACCGCTCGCTTGTAACATGCTGCAAGGATGGCATCGTAAACTTTGTCTCACCTCCAGAACTTACCGAGTCAAAGGTCTTGCAAGGAATGCAATATCGAGTTCGGTATGACCAAGTTCCGTTACCAATGTGGATACTGCTCTGAATCATTCTGTCGGGATGATCTACCTGAGGTTGCTATCATTCGCGCGTATGGACAAACATATCCGTCGAAGTTATGTAAGAACTGCCACTATATTCTCATGGAAAAGGTGGATCAGCAACTGGTCCAATGGCGAGTAGAGCGCGTCAACGATTTCCTTGGTGGCAAGCTCATCTTGTACTATAACACAACTACCGACACAGCTGTTGACAAAATCATGCGCGCAGCTGAAGGCACTCTCGTCGCTGCCAAGTCTGCTCCCATTGGTGCAGCAGCTAAAATGGCTGTTGTAAGTGCAGACTTTTTGCGCAAATACGGAAGGGCTGGCTTGCTTGGTTTCATCTTGCGCAATGAGTTCATGCAGTCCTTTTCGACGTTAAAGGGGCTGCTCGGCGACCTGGATAATCTCGGGTTTCAAGACGCCGCAATCGGGACCTATTACTTTATGGCAATGAATCGCGGTGACCGCGGTGCAGAACCTGAAGGAGAAAAGGTGAACCATAACGGATGTCAGCCAATCTCGGATACACTGCTGCAGAGGATGCTCAAGTACGCTCCTCTCGCATTGCACGGCATTTACGAGCATAATGTCCTAGATATACAGCGTATCAGCAGGCTACAAGGATTCTCATTGATTTATGTGCATGTGCAAGACCAAGACGTGCGGCACCCTTCCTTTGCGTTGCTGGGCAACAAGGAGAATAAGACGGCACTTCTGGTCATTCGAGGTTCGAAATCCGTCCAAGATGCACTGACCGATATTCAGGCTTTTCCCGAGGAGATCGGTCTTTCTTCAGCAGGTGCGCCTCAAAGCGAAGCAAGCGGTGGTTTCGTGGATGCTTTCGCACACAACGGCATGCTCAAAGCTGTTATGTGGATAAAAGACCGTATCGTCAAATCGCTGCGTGTGTTACACCACGAGGGCTACCGCATTGTTTTTACCGGTCATTCCCTGGGAGCTGGCTGCGCGGCACTGCTATCGATTATACTGCAAAAAGAGTTCGAAGATCTTGAATGTTTTGCATACGCTGTTCCTGCTTGCGTGAATTTGACCGTCGCCGAGTCATGTGACAACTTTGTCCATTCAATCGTGCTTCGAGATGATATCGTGCCTCGTGCAAAGGCCTCCAACGTTTTGAAGCTCGTTGATGAGCTGAAGAACTTCAAAGGATGTTGGCGCGATACGGCACATGAAGATTTGGAAGCATTCAAGGAGCGGGCAAAGACATTTTGGGCACCAAGAAATCGTGAATGGGCGAAGGACGTGGCTGATCAAAAGAAGGGGAGACTTGCCAACCAAGAAGAGGTGGGAGAGGGTGCGAAGAACAGTCGTTTGTGCGAAAAAGTTGTCTTGGATGATAAAGCAGAAAGGACAGCTAGCATGGAGGGAAGTGTCTCGTCATGGACGCTTACGCGAACGAATCTGATTGACCAGCTCGACAAGGTCGGAGGAAAGGACTCTGACGAAGAAGCAATCGAACCATCTGCAAAAGATCGCCAAGAGGAAGAAAAAGTGATTGCAGATCTAGCGACGGCTTTGGTGGAGGACCCAAAGGAGCTATACATCCCTGGCAAAGTGACGCACGTTTATTTCTACAAAGGAATCTTTGAAGCTGTACACGTTGGCCGTAAGTGTGGAGAGCTGTCGCACATTCCAGTGCAGCAGAATATGCTGAGCGACCACCTGGGTCGTAACTATTTAAGTGCGTTACGTATCGTTCGTGACGCGCGACGCGCTAAGCCATCACTACCCGAGTGGATACCATTCAGCACAAAGACCCGCTGCATGTGCTGTGATTCGCCATTTACTTGGAATTCGACCTCTTCCAGTGAGGCGCAGCAAAATCGTGACCAGCATAATTGCCGGCGCTGTGGTGCTCTTGTTTGTGAAGGCTGTTCGGAGAAGTTCAAGTCGATCCCGGAGTTTGGTATCAATGTGCCAGTTCGCGTTTGCGATCGCTGCTATTACGAGGCTTGAATGTAAAAATGGATTGGTCGCGAGCACAGAGATCAATGTTTGAATAATCAAGCAGGTGCTGGAGGTCAAATGATTCGTTGAGATTCATGTCAGCGTACAGCTCAAGTCTCAGAGTGCCCGTGACACTTTTGTTCCTGGTTGAAAAATCAATTGATTTCTGCAGACAAGTAAACCACGATTGTGAGGTCGTTCATCGCGCAGTTGTTTGACAACTTACTTGTTCCGAGTTCAACAGTTTCAGAACGCCGTCCGCGCTGACTCTTGGGAATAAATCTTGTAGGCACATGCAGCAGATGCGACATTTTGCCCACAACGTTTTTTTCTCTTGGATCTATCAGTTTGCCTGCTCCCTGATGGCAATATGCAGAGCGACTCTTCACTCAGTCTTGGAAAATGATCTCCAGCGCCCCGTAACTTTCGTATCACCGGTACCCATCACTTTTTCGACCATTTCTAAAACTCAAACTTTATCAGCAATGTCCACAACGCTCTGCTTTGGAATGTGTCGAATGCAACTAAACTTGCTTTTAGAAGTAAGTCAGCAATACCCGTCATGTCGCAAAGTCTTGACTTTTCGTTGTGTGTTCGCTGCTTGAAACGAGCGCATGAATGCTGGAACGCACACCTCCGAGTCATTATACCAATGTTTAATCAGCGACATGGTAGTCTTACGGGGAAAATAAGTTCTTGTCATCTGCACAGACTTATCTTGCTGCCCTAGCTACACCAACACTATCGATCGATCCTCGGCTTCCGGACAGCTTGGTCAACAGCAGATCACTCAATTATCGGTGTCCACCATTCTACCGCTTGCATCAGTTCAGCTAATTTTACACAGCAAATCGACGGTCGTGGTGGCAAAGCTACTAACAGGTGAACAGGCTACTGCGCCTGGGAGCGATTACGCATGCACACCGGTCGACACTTGGTCGGGACGCCTTGCTAGCGACTTGGGCCGTCTAGCCACGCTAAAAGTCTTGTTTTGACGCAGTTCAAAGTTTTGCGTCATGACTTGACAGCCGTGTGCAGTCACGTTTGCTGGTATGTGACTGAAGCGATCTGTAGACCACGATGAGATCACACGATGACTGAACAGCCGCACACAGGCACTGGATCCGTGGATTATTAGCACGTAATCTTTGCACTAAAAGCAGAACGATTTGCATTTGTTTTACTACGTCATGAGTAAGTTTTACTCGCCCTACACTACTTTTCCGCAAACTATTAAGCAAATTAACTATTGGCGACTTTTTAATGGGATCGAGGTCGTCGTCCGCGTGTTCCCCAGCATGTGGACCACAACTTGAGCGAAACCGAGCGATTCAGCATACAAACGTCAAGTGCTGCAGCGTCCCTTCGCTTGCTTAGAATCATTTCGTCGTCAGAACTTCTCCGCTAGAGCGCCCACCGCCGCACATCAGTCGGTCTGACCCGAGCCAGGAGTTACAAATAGCAAGACAAAGAGGGGAACCATGGACCGCTTCGCGCTCGACAAACTGAAGAACGTCATGGACGAGGCGTACGTCGATCTCTCTTTCTCTCGACCGATAGTTTATGCGAGATATCCTCACGTCCAGCGTGTGCTCCTCTTTCTGGTGATTTGGGTCCCCCCTGGTGTGCATAAATATGATCCAGGAAAAGCGTTGTCAAGGCTAAAATGGGTACGGACGTGGAGCGCAAGATCGAAGAGGCGCTGTCCAATAAGAACTGGGGCGCGTCGAGCACGTTGCTGAATGAGCTGTCGCAGCTCACATATGACTAGTAAGGGGTGGAAAGCGCCTTGTAGCCGCTTTGCTTGTATCCTCTTTTGGGGACGTCTACTTAGCCCTAACTGCATGCGCTGCGGTTGTCTAGTGAGGCGTACGGAGTCATCACACGCAAGATCTGGGAAGCCATGGACGCTGAAGGACGACAGTGGCGCTCCGTGTACAAGGCGCTGAGTCTACTGGAGCATCTGATTAAAAACGGCACAGAACGCGTGATTGAGAACGCTCGCGACCACATGTTTAAGTTGCGCCATCTCTCGGGCTTCTCGTACCATGACGGTTCTGTCGACAGGGGCAATGGAGGTGAGACAGAGGATGTCGATACAATAGCAGAGGAGCTCGTATTCTGGTGATTACGAAGTGCGTCTTTGTTTTTTGTTGTTGTTGGTGTAGTTCGAGACAAGGCCAAGCAACTTGTCGATATGCTCAATGACAATGACATGATTCGCACAGAACGTGAGAAGGCAGGGCGTTTGCGCAACAAGTATGTGGGCATTGGGAGTGGTCTTGGCGGCGGTATGGGGGGAGGGAGTTACGTTGGCAGCAGCAACTACAGTGAAGAAAGAAGTGGTGGGGGTTATAGTGGCGGAAATGGCTACAATAACAGCAGTGGCAACAGCTATAGTGGCGGCGGGTACAGCAGTGGTGGTGGTTATAGTAGTGGTGGTGGGTACAGTGGTGGTGGTGGCGGTAGCAGAGACTACGGTGTTAGTGACTCGAAGACGACCAATGACAAGGAGAAGAGCTACTCCACCCGCAACGTTGATGATGACCGTGGTGCGTTGCTGTCGCTCTTATGTTGTCAAGGTGCATTTCCCGATGTACTTTGCACTGACGCCGTCTTCGATAGATGACGAAAGTGAAGAATCAGAGTCGGAAGAAGAGGTGCGGCCAAAACGACGAGCGTCATCATCAAAAGGGAAGGCCCCTGCAAAGAAGAAAGAGGTATTACATCACGTGAATGCAGTGAATCGTGACGTGGTTATTAACTGCAACTTCGTGAATCGCATATTGGTAGGAGATGAAGAGCAAAGCTGCAGTAAAATCACCCCCTGCCGAAACATCCCTCCTGGACGCAGACTTCTTTAGTCCTGCTCCTGTGGTAGCTGCTGGTACGCTCTTTCTTCTTCTTTACCAGAATTGAAACGACCAAACTATTTGCTCACTTATGTGTTGTTTGTAGCTAATACGTTCGACCCGTTTGCACCGACAACTGCTGGTGCTGGTGCTGTTGCTGCACAGCCTGCACAGCCCCAAACAGCGTCGTTTGCTACTTTCGGCAACGCCACACCTACGCCACAGCAGTCATTTGATGCATTTGGCGCCCCGCAGCCTAAGCAGCAACCTGCATTCAATGCATTTGGGAGTAGCGGCTTTACTCAGGAAGGAACCCCACAGTTTGCTGCATTCCCTGCAGCCCCAACCCAGCTGGGTCTGAACGCGCTCGGTCAGCAAGCGGACGCTGCATCTTCACCTGCTCCTGCCTTTAACGTGCAACAACAGCAGCAGCAGTTCGGGCAATTGGGTGGAATGAGTAGCGTCATGCCGCAACCCGGGCAAATTGGCATGGACGTGCAATGCGCAACTTTGAGTCAGTCAGGATATAATACCAGCGGAAGTCAGTCACGAACGGACATAGCGCCGAAACCTGAGGAGAAGAAAAGCGACGACGCGTGGGGAGCTGGCTCATCGCTGTACGATCTGAAAAACTTGGGAAGCTCTGGCGGCAATAATAGTAGCAGCGTGAATCATCCTGACCAGCACCCGCATTACCAGCATCAGCAATTAAACGCTAGTTGCAATAGTTTCAGTGGTTTGGACACCCTTGCCGGAATGCCCAGCAAACCCACGATGGGAGGTGCTGGTGGTATGAACATGGGCACGGGGGGAATGAGCTACGCAGGTGGTATGGGTATGGGCTACAGCGGGATGCAGCAGCAAGCTGTATTTGGCCAAATGGGTCAAGGTAGTATGGTCATGGGTAGCACTCAGCACCGACCGATGATGGGGGGTATGATGGGCATGCAGCAACAAGGCATGGGTATGCAGCGGCCAAGCGTGGGCATGCAGCAGCCAGGCACGGGCATGCAGCAGCCAGGCATGGGAATGCAGCAGCCAGGCATGGGTATGCAGCAGCCAGGCATGGGAATGCAGCAGCCAGGCATGGGAATGCAGCAGCCAGGCATGGGAATGCAGCAGCCAGGCATGGGTATGCAGCCTGGCGTAGGTGGGATGGCGAACCAAGGCGGTTTCGACGGGATAGGTTCGATGCAACAGCAGCAGCGACAGCAACAGGCATTTAATCAATTCGGCAATTTCAGCTGAAGCGCCTCAGACCTGTTGGCCGTCAAGCTACAGCTTTGATGCGGTGAGGTAAAGACTAGAGGTTGCATGCTGGTAATTCTTGGCAAAACAGGGAATGCAGGTTGGAGCTCACCAGCTTGTGTTGAATTCAACCATAGTAATTCTTTTGCGAAATGGATGATACATACATGTGCAAATTAGGACTGCTTTGTAGCCTCTGATAGCAATCGTTAATGGCCATACTGGTGTCCGGTACTTGTAACAAGAGCAGACTTACAAGTGGTCACTGGCGTTGTTTCATCTAGTACGCTTCAGTAGCATTTACACCTCGCTGTGGCATTGCTGCATTGCAAGCTATCCAATGGCGACATGGGAGACCAGCAGTATGCACACTTATTCTACTCAAACTCACAAATTGATCCCTCATCAGCTTGCGAAAGCTTAGCTGCTTGCTGCAAGCTCTGGTACTTTGTTATGCTGATCAACCAGCAAGCCAGCTGTCAACACGGGTCGCTCATCCATATTAGATGATCGCAGTGACCGTTCAAGAGCATGCTGAAAGTTGACCGTGCTTGCTTCCAAAGTGTGCGTTCTGCGGTGACTGCGGCTGTGTCGTACATCCAACGTCCTCCATGTCGTGGTCCTGCTCAAGCCTCTGTCGAGCTGCGAACGTCTGCAAAAATTCTCGACCGGTACTACTACTGCGTGACAATGATCCCGCTGACGTCACCAAGATTTTAATCTGACTCGACGTTTTCTTTAGGCTCGCCCGTGGTTCCTCCAGACCATCCTGAGGAGCGTCAACGCATTTGCGCTTTCTCAGTCCTTCCGGATGCTGCTTAAACACATTGAACGGCGACATAACACGCAAATGGCCAGGTATAGACATCCTAACTCGAGGGCTCTGCTTGTCTCCGGTCCAAGACGGAGAGGTGACTACGTGGCCCCCCACAATGTCCTTTACCGGCATGATCTCCAGGTCGTCGACACTCACCATAGCCTCACATCCCTCGTCGTCTTCTTGTACGCAGCTGTTGGTGCTTTGTATCCGACTATCGGATACCTGCTGCTTCAGCTTCAGCTGCTTCTTCAGCACATCGCGCGGCTGCGGAGACGACGGGGGCGTGCTCGACCGCTCCGGCAGCAGCGAAGAAAACACTGTAAAGTGCTGCATAGCCGGTTTACCACTTATCCGGCCTTGCTGTTCATTCTCCCCCTCATCATCTTCTTCTTCTTCTTCTGTCTCCATGACCTCTGCTCGACTCACAAAAGCACCACGAAGGCGTCCAACCGCGATCCGAGTGAGTTTCTCCCGGAGCAGCGCAATATCTTCGTGGTCACTAACGAGTGAGTTACGGCGCAGCTTGGAGCGGACGTGGACGGCGTCGGGTGTCCTGGAGCAGCTGGTGCAGAGGGAAGTGGACGACATACTACGGTGTGCTCGGTGTTAACGAATGTCAAATTCTTTTGGTGGAATGTGATGTGTCGAGCACACAATTGTCAGGACACGGCGTCGTGCAGATTTTGTTGTGGCACGACGGGCCCTTTGAAGATGCTGGTTAATCAAAGCTGTGTGTGACTGAGTGATTGTTAAATAGAGCAATGGTGCGGTCTTTAACGTCAGGCTTAACTGCTCGCATGGGTTTTGCCAGCTGGAGCAACATTGCAGCAACGTAGAGAGCTGGCGCGTCGACATAAGACAAGTCCGACCAGGTAGGTACCAAAAAAAAAAGGGTTTGCTTAAGCACTTCAACATGTAACAGTACTGCGACCTCCTTCGACACGCTCTTTTATACTCACAACGAATCAGGTATTGACGGCAAGTTTGAGCATCAAGCACGAGTGCTCCTATCAGATGCAGGCAAGTAAAGGTTTGTATCACAAAGAGTCGGGTCCCAGCTGATGTTGGAAACGCATGATTGTGATACTATCTGTCGCAGTTGTCTTGAAGACTCGAACTGAGTCTCAGTCGAGTCTCGTTGAAATACGTCGGGTTCGCTGGCAACCGCGTCATCCATCCCGACTCGTTTATAGGTGTATTGGACTGTCTGACATCCTTCTCCGCTGATATCGATCAAGCTTTGATGCGCATGTAACAATCAACACGGTACTATGGCTGTCATGATTTTCTTGGCAAAAGTTGTGGTCCCAAGTTATTAAGCCACATCGGGGACGCTACAGCAGATCACATTCGATAGTGTTCTACACGTCCACCCCGTTCTTCTAGCTGCGATAGCTGAGATAGCAACTTCCCGTGCTCAAAAATGTTGTATGTGTAGCTTGCATGGTCAACATTCGGTCTCCTTGCACATTTTGACACCCAGGCATGCCTACCTGCAATGAGCCACCACTGCTTATTTCCGGATACTTCGTAAACCCATGCATTTGAGATCCTTCATGTAATTTGCCAATTTGCGCCATTAAGTCTCCGCAGTGTTTGATTCGATGCCACCACGAACTGATTGGTTGTGCTCTCGAACAAACTTAGTATTCGATCATAATCGTATCACTTGAACGCTTCGATTCTATGCGGAGCATAGTTAAATCAGAAAGGAACGTTGTGAGATCCGTAAAAGAACTTTAACACCAAAAACAGCCTTCGATGCATGAAAGAAGAGTTCTTGGTCCGCTTCGAGCTGCAAAATCTCGGCAAACTTGCCGACATCAAGACTTCTTGCAGCTTCGACAGATAGTTTAAGAGGGGCGGCGTCGAAGTCTTATAAGCTTAGTTACACAAGTACGAAACCGTTTGCCCTCCACCAAACTGGTGAGGACACCTGAGTGCTGCGGGGTTCACGTCAATAGAGCTGTACTTAGCTGGCACATGCTGCGAGACACACGATATAACTACAATCTTCACGATTGTCGATGAGGACTTTCCACAAATTCAGCACCCTCACTTTTGCACGAAAGGGCGGCATTATCGTAGTATCAAATGGGCATTTGTTGTCGCTGCTGTCGATAGTTGTAAAGGCTCGTTATTTCTTACTTGATTGTCAAATGCACATGCGTACTCGTCGAATCCTAAACTATGCTCAAGGGATATCTGGCCCGACCTTATTATGCGACTAGATTATTCATGGGTGGAACTTGCTAGCGTACAACAATAATGACGACCGAGATAGAGGTTGAATTTGGATCACACATGAAGGAATTAATGGATTTGTATTCCTCCAACTCGTAGCTTTCCACGAAGCACAGACTAACAGGCATATCGCCTTTGACTAGCGATTATCTACATCGCAATTTCTAGATTTCTACAACGTGGCGAGGTGAGGGTATCTGTATTCGCACTAAATTCTCAATGCCGCTCTACGAGAATACTCACTAAACACTGGCACTGGGCGAAGCATCAAGTTTTGCGGTAATTTCAAGCACGTTTGGTATACTTAGGCAGGCTCAACGAACATCATTGGCAATTGATAAGCTCTACGTAGTCAAATAGGAAAGATGGCCCGAACATCTGAAATATTGGACCCTTGATCTGCACGCCAATTGCATTGGCTGATAGCAACACTTTCTGTAGGTGTCAGTGCTTCCTTTGGCTGCGGCAGGAGTAATTATACTCTGAAGACTGTAGTTGGGGGCGAGAAGTACCCTAATGGACCAACCGGTTTTACAATTCCAACATCCAAAGCTTAATAACACAACATCCAAAATACAACAGCTACGGGACAGCAACTTGTTACTTTTTTCACTTCACTTTTCGTTGCTTTCACTTTCTCTTCTTCTTCTTGCTGTTGGTACTTTGACTTACAGCAGAGCGCAAGCGTTTGCTCTTAATCTGTGCATAGTGTACTCGATCGTCGTAGCTTGTAAAGAATCGATCCAATCGTGTCTGGATATGTCTGTTACCGGAGATCGACGCAGCTTTCGCCTTTTCTTCAAGTGGCTGTAGAACGCCATCACTTTTTTGCTCATCCCACCCAAAAGCATTGGCACAATAGTTGCGCAAAGCAGCCAAGTCCGGAGCACTCCACGAAAATCGGGCATCAGAACGGTCCACTTGAGGGGCCATGTACGCCTGGACTACTTGCTTGTTTGGAAACTCATCACCCAATTCCCACTTCCGACGTGCATCTGCATGAGACCGTTGGAAGCGTTCGCGAGCTCTGTCGCCGTCGCTTTCGCCGCCCCCTTCACTCGACTCTTTATCAGTCTTCGTGTTTACTTTCTTCTTTTTGTACCCGCCGAACGCAGCACGGTGAGCTTCTTCAGTAACATCAAAATTCGTGACCCATTCCTTAAACTCACGGAGACCCTCTATGCCAGGGTAAGCAGCAGCAATCTCAGTTGCGTTAACAATACCAATGCCCCGTACACCATCCGTGTAATCACTGCCTAGAAGTAGCGCAAACGCAATGATCTGCTCTCGCGAAAACCCCAGTTCTCGCTCGATATCACGTGCATAAAAGGCTTCAACAAACTTCTGATGGTGAAATATATTCTTGTAGACTCGCATACCACCGAATGGGAAGATATCACTATCATCTGTGATCACGCCGTCCACAAGTCCAAGTTGTTCAAGCGCCGCGCATTGCGCCTCCGCCTCCATAGGGCTGACGAGAAACGGCACCCCAAATAGACGCAAAAGCGCCATCACTTCACTCACCATATCGTCCGAAATACCTTCTGTATCACGAGATTGCCGACTACGCAGTTTTCTCAGCTCATGCTGCTCCTTCAGCAATGCCGCGATATCCATTTCAGAGCTTGCGATGTCCATCGAATCGCTGGGCTGGAGGGAATTACTTGGTTGCGTGTACTGGAGATAGCGAACGGGAGCACGATCTGTATCAGCGGCTACCTCCGTGCGCTCACTCGCAATCGAAGCGGCCAAGGCAGCCTGTAGCTGCTTTTGCCCGTCTTCTACATCTTTGTTAGCATTAGTGATCCTCGGCGAAGTGTCGTCTTCTTCGTCACTTATGACCACTTCAGCAGTATTCTGGGAATGATCTACCGTAAACTTCCATTTATCGTTTTTGTTTACAGTCTGGCGAGGATCCTTATTCCGTGCTGCT